TAAATGTAACCCAACCAGGACACAAATCTAGATAAAAACGTTTAGTTTTTTACTATCGTTCTTATTTCGCCAGTTTTGTTCCGCCGCTAACCCACAAGGTTCTTCATCTGATTTGTCAGAATTTATCGATTTTATTTCTAATTTCGGACTTTCGGGTTTTATAACATTAATTTTTGTTAAGATTTGCTTTGGCGTCTCGTAATGCATATTTGACATAGATGGTGATCTGTTAATTTCTGACATAGCTAATTTTGCTTTACCAGAGAAAGATTGAATATACCTAACCGTTAAAAATTTATCTATTAGCACAGATTATTAAAAAAAATTACACTTCGCATTGATTGCGAAGTGTAATTTTTTTTAATAATCTGTGCTTTATATCGTTAAATTCAGACTCAACTGCAGATGAACTTGCATTTATTTCGTCAAATCCAAATATTGGTATCATTATTCCACAGTATATGGGGAAATATGATAACAAAGATTTAATTTTTTTCGCCATTGCTGGAAAGTAATATGGATTTATGTTTACACCATTAGTAGCATTATGCAAATTATTAACGCAATTACTATCGAAGAACGTATTAACCCAGATAATCATTGCATTATCATCAGTAGAATTAAGTTTCTCGCTATTTTGATGTATATCTTCTTCATTAATATCTGTTAATGACAAATCCAATTCATCTACATCGCGACCGATCTCAGAACCCCGATCGGCAATTTCGTCTACATTAGAAACTCCTTTGATTTTATTGCAAAACAAAATTCGACATTTTTCAGCTAAAGTATCTTGCTGATTTTTGTCTTTTCCAATATTTTCACTTGAACAGAGAATAATCGTTGCTCGCACAATTTGTTGTAAATCATTGAAATCTGTTGTTCTTGTTACAGACACATCATCATTATGTAAATGTTTTAACTTTAGGATGGACTGCAGGTGTAAAAATTTTCCGTCTAGTTATAAAACTTACATAATGCGAAATATCTAAACGCAAGAAATTTCTTGTTCATGTTAACATGTTGGCATTTTTTCGTTTTTATTTGATATTAATAAGAACATTATGACTGTGACAAATATTCTTTTAGATCATTGCAATTACTAAATGCTTTTACAATAACACCCATTAATATCTGTCAAACTTATAAACTATCTGTTGTAAACATGGAAAACTTTTTTATTCGAACTACCGATTCGACGTATTTCTAACGCTATCTAAAAAAAGGCATGTTAATTTTGAACTCGAAATATATCGTTGTTCTCGAAGTTGTTGATCTTTTTCGCAACGATAATTGGGTTTTTCGCTGCGCTAACTTTGTGAGCGGCTGTCATTGCATATTTTGACAGTTGTGTGTTGTGTGTATTGAACGTAGATGTATAATAGAAATTATAGTAAAAATTTAAATAGCGCGCGCGAAACGCGCGTCTGTAATGCTAGTAACCAATAAAAAATAGATAATTTTATATCCGCCGCGTTCACGCGAGTTATAACAAACAAAAAGCGGAGCGCACGTGTAGGATACGTTGCTTACATCTCCTGAGAGTATTTTGTTTCTTGAGAGCGTAAACGGAGGAAGCGACAAGCGACAGTATCACAGTGGCTACCGTTGAGCATATATCACAAATTATCAGTGAAAGCAGTGTTTTTAAACCTTTCCGAACGTACGTACAACTATCTTGTCGTATATTATCCTATTATTTTTATTATGTCAGTAACATTATTTTTATTCTCGCGTGTCATGTTACAGTAAAATG